TGTCATGTAAGGTCGTTCGCATTACTTCGTCAAGACACGACACATCATAAACTTAAATATCAATCTGTCTGCGCCCTTTAAAATGAGTTGAATTGTTTTATATTACTTAGTCTCTTGGTAAAGAATGTAATTGATAAATAATATAGTGACATATTAATGAGAGTGTAATCATATTAAACATTGGCATAATGCGTTGTCAATCGAAGAAAAAAAACATTTGTAGGCACTTTAATTTGTATCGCCTAATCAGAGACAAGCCACTTATGTATGATGGGATTTTAATTATCAAGAGGCTATGATAAGCTAAGTTAAAATAACTTTAGCCTACCAAAATTCCTTTAAGTGTAATACTAAATTTATGGATATAGTTTAGGCATTTTGCATAAAGTATTTCCATGTAGACTTCCACAAAAATGATATTAACCCAGCCCCTCTGATCAGTATTGTAAAGAAAACACATTTAAGTCTTAATGTGGGATACTTCAGAGCTTGTATAGCTGACATGTGCAATTGTCCAGAAGACCTCTACAAAAATTTCATTATCCGTGCACCTTGGGTTAAAATGCCACCACTATGGATGTTCAGTTGTTTTCTCCCCTAATTGAAAGAATATTTGAGTTCACTCAAACAATTGTGTTGCTTTTGCGTTGTACTAATTCTAGTCCTTGTTTACATTAACAAAATGTCTTCCAATCATGCGCCCCATTAAAGCAAAAAGATACCAAGTGACATTTTCATGTTTTCGAGAAAATCACGTTTAAAGATTTGAAGTTCCATATCAAATCAGGTTTTTTACAACATGGCAAAGAAACTTCACATGTTTAGATAATATTTGAATGTACATGCTCAAAAGTTGGAAAGCTTATATATTACTAACTAGTGATAATTAATCAATTAAAGGAAATGGTTCCCTTTTGCACTTATAAATATTTTGTACGACAAATGCAAGAAGGTACCATATGATCGCTTGGCCCCTTTTTGCATTGTATGATTTTTAACATTTGCTGTCGAATATATCAAAAAGGTACTATATGGCAGTTGGCACCTTATTGTCCCAACAATATTAACAAAAAGCATCATTTGGTTATTTGGTCATTTGGTTTTATTCTACAATGATGCAAATAAAAATATGAAATTTATGTGTTTTCAGTAAATGTTTGATACAACTATCGCACTGCATGTTTTGAAAGTCTTCATCTGTGATCAATCTCAATGCCTATGCCAAAATCTCTTACATTGTTAGTCAAAATCAGAATCATTCTCATCCGATTCCATTGTGTTATAACCCTTTTCTTTTCTATATGTTAGTTAAGTGTTATTATAATTACGGAACTCTTTTGGGAACTCTTTTTATAACTAAAATAAGTGCTCAAAATTTATAGAGTCATTCAATGCAAAAAGGTACTATGTGACACTTGGTACCTTTTTGCTCAAACTGGTATACATATGGTACCTTTTTGCATTACTAAATGGGAAAATATTGACATTGTACCTTTTTACATAACCTTATATGTCTGTAAATAAACATGATACTACAGAGATATTTCTACAGATTAAAGATAACATTGAATCATAATGAAAAATGTTAAAAAGTCATTTTTGGCCAAAATGTCGCTTGGTACCTTTTTGCTTTAATTGGGCGCATGTTTCTATGATAAAAGCTGGCCTTGCCCTTGGGTCAGTTGATTGTATGAGAAAACATTAAAAATGTTTACTCAATTAAAACAAAGGCTAGTGCATAGATATAGTATCTCTTATTGCAAACTCATCCAAATCATTATTGGCCTTGCGTTAAGCCTTTTGAAATACCTTTACTTTTGAAATGTTATGCTTAGACATCGCGTATTTGGTATGTATCATTGTATAATTAGCCTCTACCATAATTGATGAAATCTGTTTAGATATCAGTTGACCAAGATTGCTCTACCTGAAGACTTATGTCTCTTTTTTCAAGCCTTTTTAATAATTATATTATACACAATAAAGTTTTGGTCGCTTAATAAATGTCATGAAGTCTTGGTCGCAAAATAAAGTAATAAATATCGGGAAAAAGTGAACCTTAGGAAGCAGTAAGAACAGCAAAATTACTTGAAAATTACAAACTCGGTTTGATTGAGTCTGTGAATGAGGGATAATGAAAAGAGCAACATCCCTCACGCCCCTTAACATCGGCTTGAGCGGAACTCAATTCTCAACACTTAAAAGTGCTGTAGTCAATGGTCCCAAAGGACCAGAAAATGTAACAACACTGAAGTGAAGTACGGGGCAACTTTTTACAGCTGCCACACAGCACTTTACACCTGACCCACCGAAAGCATTTAAAACAGCAAAGTTACATGAAATTTCAGCCTAGATTAGTTTGAGTCTGTACATGAGGGATAATGAGAAAGTGCAACATCCTTCACGCACCCTTGCATCGTCATTTTCGCTAAATAAATGTCATAAATGCTTGGTCGCCAAATAATTGTCTTTAAGTCTTTGTCACTTAATGAATATCATAAAGTCTTGGTCGGTAAATAAGTGTCAGAAAGTATTGGTTGATAAATAAATGTCATAAAGTCTTGGTCGCTTGATAAATATCACAAAGTCTTGTTCTCTAAATAAATGTAATAAAGTTTTGTTCGCTAATTAGATGTAATAAAGTCTTGGTTGTTAAATAACTATTATAGTCTTGGTCACTAAATGAATATCATTAAGTTTTGGTAGCTAAATAAATGTCATGAAGTCTTCGTTAATAAATAAATGTCATTAAGTCTTGGTCGCTAAATAAATGTCATAAAGTCTTGGTCGTTAAATAACTATTTTAGTCTTGATCACTAAATAAATATCATTAAATCTCGGTAGCTAAATAAATGTCATGAAGTCTTCGTTAATAAATAAATGTCATTAAGTCTTGGTCGCTAAATAAATGTCACAAAGTCTTGGTCGTTAAATAACTATTTTAGTCTTGGTCACTAAATAAATATCATTAAGTCTTGGTCGCTAAATAAATGTCAAAAAGTCTAAGTCGCTTATTAAAGTCATGAAGTCTTGGTAAATAAATAAATATCGTCAAGTCTTGGTCGTTAAATAAATATTATAGTCTTGGTCACTAAATGAATATCATTAAGTCTTGGTCGCTAAATAAATGTCATAAAGTCTTGGTCGCTAAATAAATGTCATAAAGTCTTGGTCGTTAAATAACTATTTTAGTCTTGGTCACTAAATAAATGTCATAAAGTCTTGGTCGCTAAATAAATGTCGAAAAGTCTAAGTCGCTTATTAAAGTCATGAAGTCTTGGTAAATAAATAAATGTCATAAAGTCTTCGTCGCTAAATACATGTTATAAAGTTTTGGTCGCTTGATAAATATCACAAAGTCTTGTTCGCTAAATAAATGTCATAAAGTCTTGTTCGCTAAATAAATGTCATAAAGTCTTGGTCGTTTAATAAATATCATAAAGTCTTGGTCGCTTAATAAATGTCATAAAGTCTTGGTCGCTTTATAAAAAATCAGAAAGTCTTGGTTGCTAAATTAATGTCATTTAGTCTTGTTGGCTTAATAAATGTCATTAAGTCTTGGTCGCAGAATAAATCTCTTTAAGTCTTGTTCGCTACATAAATGTCATAAAGTCTTGGTCGCTTTATAAAAATCAGAAAGTCTTGGTTGCTAAATTAATGTCATTTAGTCTTGTTGGCTCAATAAATGTCATTAAGTCTTGGTCGCAGAATAAATGTCTTTAAGTCTTGTTCGCTAAATAAATGTCAGAAAGTCTTGGTCGCTTTATAAAAATCAGAAAGTCACGCACGAATCAAACTGCATTGAAATGCCAACACAAACAAGAAGTGTCTTTAAAAAGACACTCGGCCGAAGTCAAACTTGTTAACTTGCATAGGATAAGCTACTACTAACCATACTAACCGCAAAACGAACATTTTATTGGTCCTCAATAGTTTTATTTCAGTTCATTTTTACCCGTAATGTTTTTCCTCATTAACTGTCATCTTAGATTTTAAACAATATTGCTTTTCATTATTTGATTTCAATCAAAATTGAATTTGATTTGAATAGGACTGATAATAAAACAAAGATTTAGTAGATACTGTACACTTATTCCACGGAGAATTTTGCAACTGTAAATTAGTCGATAGTTTGTTTCAATCGTCTTATGCCGGTTCGAAGAACAGGTTAGAAGAGAGCCCAAATCGAACGCAAAAGTATCAGAAATGCGATCTGTCATATTTAATTTCATATATTTATTGAAAAGCTGTTAGAAACATCTAGAAAATATCATTACTGTGTTTTTATATCTATTCTGACGTATATCTTTTTCCAACACCTTTTGCCATCGCGCAATCGAACAGACCTCTACCTTTTCTACAGTATCAAACGAACAAGCTATGAGTGTTAGAATGACCAATAAAAAATCTGCCTTTATTCATTCCTTTACTGTTAATTTAAGCGGAAGTCAAGATGAAATCTGACAGCCTTCGACCGAAAAAGCGTACTTCGAATGTATGCATGCCTGCATTTACATACACTATTAACTAATTTTATTGTAGACAATCTTAGCACGGTTTATTTTTAATATTGAGTACTTATGTGGATATCTAAACTGTTATCTTTATAATAAAAGATATCGAGGAAAAGTTCATGTTTTGTCATGTTACCGTCGACAATTGTTTTACCAAAACAATCAACACAACGGGAGTAATTATTATCTAAAACTACAATAAAAAATTCAATTTGCGTTGAATTTCTTTCATTAGATTTTGTTTTAGAATTGATCACATAAAAGGTTTTATATCTTAAAAAAACAGTAGTTGTATTCTTTCTAAAATGGATTAGAATAAAAACGTCTAAATCTGAATAAATTGACAGAAACACAATCACAATTTCACAACTAACAGAAATTGTCTATATTATTATGATTAGGATTCTAAGCAAAACTACATGAATAAAAATGTGTTTAAAGCAATTGTTTAATTTCTAAAATAACTTGTACATTTCATCATTTACAGATGTTGCTATAACGCAGTTGTAACAAATCAAGAAGAAACATAATGGCAACCGGAGGTCAACCACAGACGCCAAACAACCGGATATTTTTGTTCCGGTTACAAATTCTAGTCATTGATGGTGGCCTCTTGGTATTGAGAAATATACTGGACCAGTCCCTGACATCTCAAGGAATAACGTTCAATGCATGCTTGAATCAAGAAAAGTCAACAATAACACATTTGAAAAGCCACAGCATTATAACCCAGGTCCAGTATGATGTATTGTTTCCAGCGGGTGGTCAAGTCCCAACATCGTCAGATTTGGACATCACGCTTATCATTTGTCTTCTCAGAAACCTGCAATGTTTCGGATTAAATAAAAACTTTGACTGGCGGACAACACCAGCACCAACTGATGTAACAATAGATGCAGACATATGGCGATTAAAGGATTTCCGAAATAAAGTAAGTGTATGATAAAAAAAGTCAATGCGAAAGACAATTTTAAATTCCTGCCTTAGCAATACAAAAGAATAAAAGTAAATATTTTATACATTAACAATATAAATGTCTACGTATCTTAAAAGTATTGTATTTCTTCCAAAGTGTAAATTAACAACAATTTAATCTTCATAATTGAACCCATCATTATAATAGTCCAACATTTAATAATGTCTAGACAAGAACTTATTTGGTCTGATGAATATCTTTACGAAAGCTTTGTAGTCGTACTGAAAAGGTTATAACATGAACATCTTAAACATTAATATTTTTAAATTTATTATCCCACATTTCCGATGCAATTTTTTCGAGATTTCATTACTGTCGTGAGAAATTCTGGACTTTTATTTGTGTCATGAAATAATTCATCACGACATTATCCAAGGTATTATTGCTATCATCAAATAGGCTAAGTTATTACTGCTTTCAAAAAAATAACCCAAGGTTAAACTGACATCATGAAACCATCCTAAATAAAACTGACGTCAAGAAACAATCCAAGAAAAAATTGTCATCATGAAACAATCCGAGATAACACTGCCGTCATGAAACAACCCACGATAATGCTGTCGTCTAGAAACAATCCGAGATAAAACTGCCGTCATGAAACAATATGGGGAATTTTGCTGCAATCAAGACACAATCCCAGATAATACTGCCTTCATGAAATTTCAAGATAATTTTACCGTCAAGAAAATAATCCGAGCTAATACTGCCACCAAGAAACAATCCGAAATGATACTGCCGTCATGAAATAATCCAAGCTAATACTGCCTCGATGAAACAATCCAAGATAATACTGCAGTAATGAAACAATCCAAGATTATACTGCCGTCTTGAACAATCCGAGAAAATGTTGCCGTCATAAAACAGTCCGAGATAATACTGCCTCGATGAAACAATCCAAGATAATACTGCTGTCATGGAACAATCAGAGATAATACTGCCTCGATGAAACAATCCGAGATAATACTGCCGTAATATAAACAATCCTAGATAATACTGCTGTCAAGAAAATAATGCGAGCTATAACTGCCACCATGAAACATTCCGAGATAATACTGCAGCCATGAAACATTCCAAGTAAAAAACAATCAGAGATAATACTGCCAACATGAAAAAGTCAAAGATGATATACTACCGTTAACATGAATACTTTTAACATTTTTATCCGACATTTCCGATGACAAATTTAATCATTATTGCCATGAAAAATTCCGGGCTTTTATTCATGTCTTGAAATAACAAATCACGATATGATACAAGGTGCTATTACTATCATCAAATAGAGTAAGATATTACTACTTTCATAAAAATAATCAAAGATTAAACTGCTGTCATAAAAGAATCTGAATCAAAACTGCCGCCAAGAAACAATCCGAAATAATGCTGCCGTCATAAAATAATCAGAGATTATTCTGCCACCAAAATCCAATCCGGGATAATACAGCCGTCATAAAATTAATAGAGATAATACTGCCGCCAAAAAATACTGCCGTCAAGAAACAATCCGAGATATTACTGCAGCAGTCAAGAAACAATCCGAGATATTACTGCGTCATGAAACAATCCGAGATATTACTGCGTCATGAAACAATCCGAGATATTACTGCAGCAGTCAAGAAGCAATCCGAGATATTACTGCAGCAGTCAAGAAACAATCTGAGATATTACTGCAGCAATCAAGAAGCAATCCGAGATATTACTGCAGTCAAGAAACAATCCGTGATATAACTGCAGCAGTCAAGAAACAATCCGAGATATTACTGCGTCATGAAACAATCCGAGATATTACTGCAGCAGTCAAGAAACAATACGAGATATAACTGCAGCAGTCAAGAAGCAATCCGAAGATATAACTTCAGCAGGCAAGAAGCAATCCGAGATATTACTGCAGCAGTCAAGAAACAATCAGAGATATTACTGCAGCAGTCAAGAAGCAATCCGAGATATTACTGCAGTCAAGAAACAATCCGAGATATAACTGCAGCAGTCAAGAAACAATCCGAGATATTACTGCAGCAGTGAAGAAACAATCTGAGATATTAGTGCAGCAGTCATGAAACAATCCGAGATATAACGGCAGTCAAGAAACAATCCGAGATATTACTGCAGTGAAGAAACAATCCGAGATATTACCGCAGCAGTCAAGAAACAATCCGAGGAACAGTCCGAGATATTACTGCAGCAGTCAAGAAACAATCCGAGATATAACTGCAGCAGTCAAGAAACAATCCGAGATATTACTGCGTCATGAAACAATCCGAGAAATTACTGCATCAGTCAAGAAGCAATCCGAGATATTACTGCAGCAGTCAAGAAACAATCTGAGATATTACTGCAGCAGTCAAGAAGCAATCCGAGATATTACTGCAGTCAAGAAACAATCCGAGATATAACTGCATCAGTCAAGAAACAATCCGAGATATTACTGCGTCATGAAACAATCCGAGATATTACTGCAGCAGTCAAGAAACAATCCGAGATATAACTGCAGCAGTCAAGAAGCAATCCGAGATATAACTTCAGCAGTCAAGAAGCAATCCGAGATATTACTGCAGCAGTCAAGAAACAATCCGAGATATTACTGCAGTCAAGAAGCAATCCGAGATATAACTGCAGTCAAGAAACAATCCGAGATATAACTGCAGCAGTGAAAAACAAACCGAGATATTACTGCAGCAGTCAAGAAGCAATCCGAGATATTACCGCAGCAGTTAAGAAACAATCCGAGATATTACTGCTGCAGTCAAGAAGCAATCCGAGATATAACTGCAGTCAAGAAACAATCCGAGATATAACTGCAGTCAAGAAACAATCCGAGATATTACTGCAGTGAAGAAACAATCCGAGATATTACTGCAGCAGTCAAGAAACAATCCGAGGAACAGTCCGAGTTATTACTGCAGCAGTCAAGAAACAATCCGAGATATAACTGCAGCAGTCAAAAAACAATCCGAGATATTACTGCAGCCAAGAAACAATCCGAGATATTACTGCAGTCAAGAGACAATCCGAGATATTACTGCAGCAGTCAAGAAATAATCACAGATTAAACTGCCGTCATGAAATTATACGAGATATCGCTGCTGTCATTAAACAATTCGAGATAATACTAGCGTCAAGAAACAATCCGAGATATAACTGCAGCAGTCAAGAAACAATCCGAGATTTTATTGCAGCAGTCAAGAAACAATCCGAGATATAACTGCAGTCAAGAAACAATCCGAGATATTACTGCTGTCAAGAAACAATCCGAGATATAACTGCAGCAGTCAAGAAACAATCCGAGATATTACTGCAGCAGTCAAGAAACAATCTGAGATATAACTGCAGCAGTCAAGAAACAATCCGAGATATTACTGCGTCATGAAACAATCCGACATATTACTGCACCAGTCAAGAAACAATCCGAGATATTACTGCAGCAGTCAGGAAACAATCCGAGATATTACTGCAGTGAAGAAACAATCCGATATAATACTGGCAGCAGTCAAGAAACAATCCGAGATATTACTGCAGCAGTCAAGAAACAATCCGAGATATTACTGCAGTCAAGAAACAATCCGAGATAATACAGCAGCAGTCAAAAAACTATCCGAGATATTACTGCAGCAGTCGAGAAACAATCCGAGATATTACTGCAGCAGTCAAGAAACAATCCGAGATATTACTGCAGCAGTCAAGAAACAATCCGAGTTATAACTGCAGCAATCAAGAAACAATCCGAGATATAACTTTAGCAGTCAAGAAACAATCCGAGATATTACTGCGTCATGAAACAATCCGAGATATTACTGCAGCAGTCAAGAAACAATTCGAGATATAACTGCAACAATCAAGAAGCAATCCGAGATATAACTTCAGCAGTCAATAAGCAATCCGAGATATTACTGCAGCAGTCAAGAAACAATCCGAGATATTACTGCAGCAGTCAAGAAGCAATCCGAGATATTACTGCAGTCAAGAAACAATCCGAGATATAACTGCAGCAGTCAAGAAACAATCCGAGATATTACTGCGTCATGAAACAATCCGAGATATTACTGCAGCAGTCAAGAAACAATCCGAGATATAACTGCAGCAGTCAAGAAGCAATCCGAGATATTACTGCGTCATGAAACAATCCGAGAAATTACTGCATCAGTCAAGAAGCAATCCGAGATATTACTGCGTCATGAAACAATCCGAGAAATTACTGCAACAGTCAAGAAGCAATCCGAAATATTACTGCAGTCAAGAAACAATCCGAGATATAACTGCAGCAGTCAAGAAACAATCCGAGATATTACTGCAGCAGTCAAGAAACAATCCGAGATATTACTGCAGCAGTCAAGAAGCAATCCGAGATATTACTGCAGTCAAGAAACAATCCGAGATATAACTGCAGCAGTCAGGAAGCAATCCGAGATATTACTGCAGCAGTCAAGAAACAATCCGAGATATTACTGCAGCAGTGAAGAAATAATCTGAGATATTACTGCAGCAGTCATGAAACAATCCGAGATATAAGTGCAGTCAAGAAACAATCCGATATATTACTGCAGTGAAGAAACAATCCGAGATATTACTGCAGCAGTCAAGAAACAATCCGAGGAACAATCCGAGATATTACTGCAGCAGTCAAGAAACAATCCGAGATATAACTGCAGCAGTCAAGAAACAATCCGAGATATTACTGCAGTCAAGAAACAATCCGAAATATTACTGCAGTGAAGAAACAATCCGAGATATTACTGCAGCAGTCATGAAGTAATCACATATTAAACTGCCGTCATGAAATTATACGAGATATCGCTGCTGTCGTTAAACAATCCGAGATAATGCTATCGTCAAGAAACAATCCGAGATATAACTGCAGCAGTCAAGAAACAATCCGAGATATTATTGCAGCAGTCAAGAAACAATCCGAGATATAACTGCAGTCAAGAAACAATAAGAGATATTACTGCTGTCAAGAAACA